TGTGCATAATATATGCGACATTATTTACGTGGTGAGATAGTCTTTATTAAATCCGATGGTGTAAATCTCGTTGGGATTAATAACGCAACTCGGTAAACTTTTTCAACATGTTAAACTTGGCAAGCAATGATTATAATCAACCCATGGCTTGCTCAAACAGTGCCGTATTTACAAGTACCCACCTTTGTGGGTCAGTGTTGTAACCTCGTGGTCAGTGCACTCAGCTACCAACCGAGCTGCATAGGTTCATATTCATAATTTGCGTCGTTGTGGAGACAAGTAACAGTATACATACTTAGATTTAGATTTTTATTTATTTCATCAGGAAGGGCCCAATAAGTTGAGGCTCTTTAATGGGCGTTCTGCGACAGTACCAGTGCTACCCAGTTAATATCTTTATTACAGTCGTAAATAAAATAAATAAGCAGACAATATGTGCTGATGTATGTCGAAACCGATTCTGAGTCCGCTTGTATCAATACCACTGAAATGATGCACTTATCGAAATCTATATGGCTCATGGGTTGTCTTAGACTATAAAGGAAAGAGACAGTGTCTGGTTATTGTTACCCAAGTTCAAAATAAATAAGCACACAAATATGCCTCCCTCCATTATAACGTTTTTTACACATCCCTAGCAGGCCACATGACCTTCTGGGAGTACATAATTTCAGCAGCATTGGTTCAACACGCTAACTGTGGACCGGTTTTGACATGCAGTGTCTTGTGAGCAGAGACAAGTTCGCTTGAACCAATGCCGGCGATTTGCCACGTAGGTTCACATCCCTCTCTCCAGGGTACGGCAATGTAAACGCAATTGTCCAAGCGGTTTTTGTCTTTATGTGAAAGGCGTAGCCATTGGCTGCCACGATCTATCTGCTGCTGCATGAAGGCCTGCCCATGCTATGCTGCCGTCATTCCTCACTTTCCCCGCCATGTCGCAACGCATCGGCCGCACACGAGCCCATCCCATCGCTCCGTGTTCTCCAGTGGTTGTGTACTGTGGGACATGTTGTTCCACACTCTGGCTGCCTTCAGACCATCGGCCAAAGCCCACTGAATGTTTCGTGATAACCGGCAGTCTCGTCTATCCAATTTGCACGTGCTCTCTAAGTACACGTGTCCCTCCTCTTCGCACTGTCATTTCGAGCGTGATTGATTTCCGTTTTCTTGTGTCGGTGTTCGTTTTCCAACCTGTACGCTCACGGCGAGTAATATCCACCACTTTAGAACATGCTTAATTAACCCGCATTGACCAGCGTGGCGACGTGGGAAAATAACTCCCATGACCCACGTGGCGTTTGGAGGAGCCATCATTCTGCAGTGGATTGACTAAAAAACACATTCCTGCGGAGGGAGCTGGTAGGAACGTTGGGTTGCTCGGTCAATGGCCAGGGTCAACGGCAGCGTGGCGTATTCCGCTAATATGCCCGACTGTGAGGGCGGGCACAAGCCGGCGTGAGTAGGTTAAACGCTGAGTTTTATAAGGGCACCACGGAGTGACCAGCCCTTCCCCACCCAGACCCTCCCCACTCCACCCAGCCCCACCCCTCCCATTTTTGGATGCACGACGGACGGACGGACACAATAATCCCCTGTGGGCTGATGGAACCAGGAGGTTCCTACCAGTATAATGTGCTTGTAAACGCACACAAACACAATACCATTCGACGAATTAAAATATTATTTATTTCACAAGACTAATGGTTAAATAAAGACGATTAAAATTGCCGTTTCAGTTTTTAGACTCGATTTTGCAACTTGGGGAGTTACGCACGTGACACCTGTTATAGCACGTAATGTCCCCCTGTTGTAAGGTCTCTACCACCTGCTGTCCAGCAGAGGGTGCACCTTACTCGTCCATGCGAGAATGCATTCACCATGCGTTTCTGCATTACATTTTAATGCATGCACAGCTCTTGTCAATCCACTGCTGGGTGAGCGCTTGCACATGGGGAGGCTCTCTTCCTCCTGAGTGCACGGTGTGCCTGTGATTGATTGAGTGATTGTGTTTTTTACGCACTAATCACCTTACATGGGGGTGGACCCATGGCACTTGATAACGCACTGCACGACAAACCTGGAAACCCAAGTTCAATTCCCGGCCACAAGTAACATCAGTGGTGAGTCGTATCAGAACCGGCCCCCCCCTCCCTCCTATGACCGACATTGGAGAGGAAAAACAACTCATGACTGACATGATGTGAGGAGGCCTTCATCCAGCAGTGTATTGGGAATGGCTTTAATTGTATTTGTTATTACCAAAAGAGGTCGCTTCATAGCCTGTTGTAGTTGTGATTTAACCATCAAATACAAGGTCAAACGGTTTAGTGGCGAGCGCCCGCTGGTCCTCAGCAGCCTTGCTGTGCGATCGTGTCTTTGGTGCAGTAGTTGGTGACCAGGCTGAGACCATAACCTCACTTGATTTGTGAGTGACCGAATCCCAGATTTTAATCCAGGACCTCATTGGTACCAGCTTTCTGCTCTCTGGCTCTCTTAGCCCTCTTAGCCCCTCGAGCCAGCAGCCACACTGCTATTGAACATTACCCATTGCTCAATGACTTTGCACAATTTTTTCAAAGTCACGCTATTTTCAAGAAACTTGGGGCACCTCTCATCTCTGTTTAAAACCCTTAGCCCGATCGTGAAAATTCCACATCACTGTAGCGGATAATGTAGGCTTTGTGTAGGCATGTATGGTCATTTGACCGTACTTGACTGCTGGAAATTGTGGGTTGACTAAAGGGGGGAGTACCTATGACCGTTTGGATATCACTTGCCACTGATGTTAGCCGTGGAGGGGATTGTTACTTGGGTCACCGAGTTTCGAGACGGGTGCGCTTAAAATTGTGCTACCATTGTGTGTGTGTGTTCATATACGTAGTTTGCGAACAGAAATTGTCCCTACTGTCTGAAGGCTTATTAGAACAATATACTTGCATGTCAAGAGAATGTGGATATAAGGGCAGTTCGTACATTGCACTATGAACCCCGCGACTTGAGTTTCATGACAGGACACCGATAGCAGAATGTGAATAAAACTGTAGAAAAGAAAGGGTAAGGCTTGAATCAAACCGCATTCTCACCCGAGCATATTTCTCGGTGGTGGTCGTCGAGCCAATCTGTCGTCACATTTCTCCTTTTACAGTTGAGCCTCGGCCAGTAACCCTAAATGATAATAACCCCGATATTGCCGAGCCAAGGCTGGGGAAAGCTGATCGATGATAAAAGCACCGTAATATCTCCCTGGGTCTTGACGTTTTGTCCTCATCCTCCCAACACAGCCCATCATTGCCCAACACTTCTCACGCTGAACAACAACGCTGTGCCGCTAAGGGGCGCTCCTGGTGATTTGTATTTCGGAGCACAGATCGGAAGGGGGCGGCCTTTAGATTTCATAGACACTTTCGCTTTAAATAATTCAACCAACGTCATTGTTCTGTAGCCTTCAGGCAGTAGGTCTGCTTCCAAATAGACCGTATTCATCAGTACATAAGATTGAAACATTCGTATTGAATGCCCGCATGCTGGTGGACTATAAAAATAAAGCTTGCGGCACTTATCGACGTTTTTCCTGTGGTCGATGCCCAGCCGTTGGCTAACATCAGATGGCGAATGATATCTGAACTGGTCCTGAACTCCGCCTACCCCCTCCCCACACTGACCAGCGTGGTGAAGTTTGATCAAGCAATCCCCACAACTGACACGGCATGGAGATACATTAAACCAGCAGTAGATTGCCACAGAGCTGAAAAAATATGCACAAAATAGCTTTATATTCTTAGCTCTTTCGGTAAAGTCACGTGACTTGACCGAAAGAGCTAAGAATATGAATTACTGCAGTCACGAAAGCTTTAAATAAAAAAAATAGCTTTATATATAAAAGATAGATTTTTAAGGACTGACTTTCCGTTGTCACGAGCGGTGTCAGTGCAATTAAAAAAATCAATGCTTTCCAACTGAGGTTGAAAGCAGTGTTACGTTACCTCTTTCCACATGTGTGTAACATAGAGTCATGACAGTTCTTGTATGGGTGATCCAATGTGAATGCAATGTTATAAAGTTGTTGCCATTCGGGACTTACCCGATGGTCAACCTGACGCCTCTATCAAAGGGTTGACAGATTGGCAGGTCGGTGCTCCGTGACGTCTGACCAGTGTGGAAGAGTAGGCCAAACTCCCTGCAGAGATGCTCTCAAGATTAGACGCCTCGGTAGCGGGGGGAGGCTCTTTTTTCCAGCGGCAGCGGCGCACGAGTGAGCAATTTCAGGGCTGCCCGTTTAGCACCGCCTTGCCCATGCGCCCCCTCGGGCGGGCAAGTTGTCGACTTATAAGGAACTTTACAAGCGGCGTCTCACCAGACGCAACATGATCCCACGGCGTCTTCCGACGCACCTCGCACTAACCCCCGCAACTCTCTTGTAGAAAAAACCCAGCAAGTCCCCCCCCCCAGCCTCACCCCATCCCCCTTAAGCTGTAGCCGCTCTATTTATAACTTTGTCCAAGCATCCGTTCGCTGTGCACGTTCGGTCGTTCGACGCGGCAGGCATCAGTCACGTGGCGAATGCGCCCCCAACTCCGTTACTCACGAAATTGGGAAGACCCAGGCACGTTTTGCTGCTACTGCCGCCGCCGCTGATGGTTCCGAATATTTCTGTGGGATTTCGCGTCACGGGGCTAAACGGTCCCGGTGTGTCTGCCGCAGTCAGGTCGACATCCTGCCGCCACGAGTCTCGCCCCCCACACCACTGGCAGTCGTCCAGATCTGGCCACTAAAATTTCCGTCGGACGCGCAGCTGCCCGGAGCCATCACTGACGAGCGTGACATCGTTCCTTCCGTCTCTGCAGGAGGACAGTATAGCACTGTCCTCAAAACGTGGCTTTGAAACAAGTCAATTAGTTTTACATTCGTAATTTAAACAAGCTGGAATCGACTGACGTATGGGGACGGCAATCATTGCGAAAACGCCGTTTATTCGTCTCCGGATTGGAGGCCTGCCCGAGCCATGTTGGTCATGGGGTGGGGGGGTTTGTTGCACATACTTCACCACGCTGGTTAGTGCGGATAGGTCAACCTGGATCGCAGGCTGTTCTCTAGCAAGGGGTGACGTACCGATTCGGTCTGTGAGCATTCCAAATTAAATACTTGACCACACGACGCTCGTAACTCTCGTAACAATGATTAATTGTTGACGAAACTTTAGCATAAAGTTGTGTTTCTATAAGGTTCTTGCCCTCTTGTAAACCGGACAAATTGATGAAAGTGTTCCCCAAAACTTGGAGACATACTCCTTGGGAAAAAAAGGATATTTGCAAATATTCTAAAATAATTATTGCTATCCATTGGCTTCTGTAGAGCGAATTCAAAATAAAATACTTACCCGGGCACGTGTTGCAAAGCATTACATAATACATGCACATCACGATTTTTTTCACTGTACGAATAATTTCAACAACAGTTTTTTAGGGATTTTTTTTATAAACACCACTAACGGGCATTGGTCTTTTTAGTGTCGCCTCCCAGTGGGTTCGTAGCGCAGCTCCCCCATCACCACCACAACCACCACTATCGTCACCAGGACCTTCAAGATCACAATAACGATCATCACCACCACCGGCCACTATGAACACCACCACCACTTAGCGTACTGTTGACCCCCCCCCCCCACACACCTCAACGGCCCAGACAGAGGGAGGGTCTCACTGACAGTCGCCTAAAACCAGTGACAGCTGTCCAGACGGGGAGCTCAGGAGCAGGAGGAGGAGCAGTTATAATAATAAGACGGCGAGCAGGCAGACGTGCGCACAGAGAATCGGCGGGGGGCGGTAGCTGTAGCGGCGGCAGTGGCGGTGGCTGCGTTGGGGACCACGTGCTGCTGCGCAGAGAGTTTGCGTCGCTCGCGTGAGACCCCCCACACATGGGCTCCGTGCACGGCGCTGCGAGACGCGAGTGCCATGTGGGATCGTCATCCAACCAGAGCCACGTCTTCGTGATGTTCGGCGCCACGGTGAGAGAGAGATGGAGAGAGGGTAATGGGAGAAGAGAGTGACTGAGAGTTCGGTTTTAGCCACCGCTTCCTTCTCAGCTGTGGCTTGCTTGGGTTTCCCCACTATCGGTGAAGCCTATTTGTGAGTGAAGATATCGGAGACTGCATTGGTTTCTGGTATATGTGGGACGTCTACAATCTTTGTATGTTGAACTTCTTTCGCACTGTACGTGGCAAACCGTGCTAATCGGGGGTGGTGAATAAAACCTGCGCCTATCGTACGTATATAATCATGTTTTTACATTCGTAAACTTAACTTTCTTCTGGCTTTTCGTGGCTACTATTTTTTTCGTATAATACGGTAACATTTGTGTTTTTTTATTTGTTGGTAGTCGACTGAGAAATCGACATACCTTGGAATGAGTTTCTCGTTGCTATTGGCCTACCGAATTTATTGATATTTTAAACAAGTGTTTAGACCGACTCGCAGCGCTGCCATCTCCTGCTGATTGCGTGGCCCCCACCGGGTTTAGGAGCTTCGCACGTCTCATGTTTGATTCGTGTGCGGTCAACGGTCGATGACAGAACACGAGTGAATTTGCGTATTTAAGGAACGCGTTTAAGTCCCAGGAGCGCCGAGTTCCGGGGATTTTGTCCGCGGTGTTTCTGCGCCCCCTTGTTACGGTTCGTGTCTTTTGTACGGCGCTCTTGTCGAATGAATAAAAAAGTGACGTGTGGTGGGACGTGCGAGCTGCCTACACGGTAATGTTTTATCTGGCGTGGGCAGATTCATATTTTGAAGTCTTCCGCGAAAGACTCATGCTGTTATAATTATCAGGCTGTGTTTTAGTAAAGAATTTTAAAAGGCGCATCTTTATTTACGTGCGTGCGTTGTGTGTGTATGCGTCACTCTAAGTAAGCTAATATGACTGTCAGAATGGCTTTTTTTGTGTTAATGTTTTGCACTCTTATGTCTGATTCTATCTCTTACAGGGTGATCTGGCCAAGAAGAAAATTTATCCGACACTCTGGTGAGTGCTGTGGCGAGCGAGTGAGTGAGTGGGTGAGTGAGTGAGGTGAGGATGATGGTGGTGCCTGGATGCATGAGTTCATGAATTTGTGAGTTTTATGCTAAAATTGTCGTCATTAACCCTCCATCCACCACCCCACAAGATTGTTACATTTACAAATATATTATTATCCATGCCATTGTATCGATCAAATTCTGACTGCTAAAGCCCCTCCTCCCTCATCTCTGGCGTGACATTTCACTAATTACTTTATCATAAACTTAGGACGATGTTTTACTCAAACTATTTAAACTATATAGCTTAACAAAGTGGCTTAGCTTGTGGAAATTTATAGTGGCCAAATACTCCAAGCGCGTGTTTCTAAATGTGTAGGACCCGGAGAAAGATCTCCACGCCACCACGGCGAGCACATGAAAACTCCAAATATACAGGCATCACGATTGTCATAGAACCCACGACCTGCATACCAGGCGAGAGAGTTAACATCCCGTCACCGGTGTAGCCCCTTCATCAGATAACGGACACGGAAAATCAAGTGAGGCCAAATAATCTGAGTTAGTTTTTTGAGTCTGCTGGCCGGGACTGGGCAAAAAACTTGGCTCACTTTTCGCCCAGGCATCTGAAGAGCAGCACAGACTTTTAAGTGTTTGTAACCTAACATTTAAACTAACAGTCGCATATTTAAGAATCACAGTTAAGAGATCAACAATATATCGACGAAAAAGAATTCGAATTAATAAAAATGTACTTAAAATCTCATCAATTGTACCTCATACTAGCCGGGACGCTGTTTCAGTGCCCAACCAGGCTATATTTAATGTAAAACAACGCGAGCGGCTGAACGCCGCGAGGAAAATGTTGGCAATTTAAAAGCGTTACTTGAACGCCATCGATCTGGGCGACTCTGTGCATTTAGTGTGACATCAACAACTGCCAAAGCAAAGGTCCATTCCCATTGCCTCGTCATTTGGGACTGGTCGCTTTCACAGCTGTCATCCCATACGGGTTTACTCGTATTCTTGTACAGGGAAATTGAGTTTTCAGGTCCATATGGCATACAGACATCTCAATATGGGCAAAAAAAGTGTTTGTGTTTTTCCCTTGTGATGGGACATTGTCGGATGAACGTTGATGTTTTTAAGGGCACGGGGTGACCAATAAGGTCTGAATTGGTCTTGAATAGGGTAGGCACTAATAAAGGGGTTGACAGGTGTACGTTTTCAATATGCAAATTATTTCAAACAACCACCTCCAACCTGACACGGCAAATTCATAAGGTTGTCACGTGAACAAAGGGTGCCGATTAGTTACTATTTGAGTACACCGGTTGTGTGTTAGAGGTCACTGCACAACATTTATTATTGATCACGACTTTTCACTGCCGATTAGACATTTACGCGATCTCACCCAAAAACTATTGTGAATAATATAGGTTTCAAAAGCCTACCCGTAAAAAAAATGTTTCAAACAAATTTGTAATAAAACATTGTCACTGGTCTTCTATTTCAATTGGCATTTCAATTGTTTCTTATTATTGTTAAAGTATTAAGCTGAGCTTTATTGGTCAGAATATGATTAATACATTGGCGCATATAAAGAATATCTTTGTAAATGTGAAGTGGTTGAGGGGTCAAATGACAACTTTTGGCACGAAATTTTCTCCATGGCCGAACCAAAAAAAAGTTACCCTTGGATTGGCTATGAAAATCTGCGGTTTAAGTTAATTAGTGAGTTTATAGGTGAGAGAGTGAGTGGGCAAGTGCACAAGTCGGTGAATAGTCCAATGTGGGCCACTGGGTGCGTTTATGCGACTGATTCGGTGATGGAAGTGAATACAGTCGCTGAGTAAAGTTGATGAGCGAGTGACTGGAAGGATACTGTGATGGGTGGAGTGTGTGACCCGAGTGAATCTATAAATGAATTGGCGACGGCAGTATGTGGGAATGTAGATTAAGTAGCTGAGTCAGTGGATGAGGAGTCGGTGGTGAGAATGATGCCTGGGTGCTTGATTTGATTGAGTCCGGTGCATATTCACTGGAAGCATTTTCAGAACCTTACTGTCACATATATGCCAAAACAGTCAACTCTACAGTGAAATGTGGGCCACATTATAAATGGCCCTGACCCGATTATTTATTGCCGGCTTTCACAAAGAGGATTTCCCATGTAATTCTCTTGTGCGCACGCACAAGCCACAGTCGACAACTGTACACGGTGGTGGTGGATGTGAGATTCGCGTTGTCAAACCGGCACTCACCGCTCTACACAACAACGTTTTGTCTATCCACTGCTGGATGAGGGCCCCCTTCGTGCGTTGTGCGGCTCATGGGGGTTGGGGGGCGTTATTTTTTGTTCGTGCTTCTCAGCGCTGGTCAATGCGGTCTGGCGTGCGTATCTCTGCAGTATCCGCGTCTGGAGGTAGTTGTCCGAACACGGTGCTTGGCAGTCGGTGCGCCGCGCGGCACGCCGGTGTCGCGGCGACGTGGCAGACGTGCCGCGGTGATTTTGGATTTATCGACAGACATCGATGTACTCATCGCTGACATAGACGCGCATGGACAGTGAAATGAAACGACAGACAAACACACAGACATTTATACCAAATTGTTAACACGGATACAGACGCCGATACATCCAAAAAAAGTGCAATCGACGGACGATTTTGGTTAATCGGCTGAGCTGCGTGCCCCCCCCCTGGGCGAGCGATTTAAACCCGAGCCTCACGCAGCATCTGCCATTCTAATTGAGTCACAACGAGGCCTGGGGAAACACGATGATCGAGGGGAGAGCGACACACGCGATTGGAGAAATTCCACATTTCCGTGCCGGCACCGAGTCCGTCCGTCCGTAGCAGCGTATCACATGAAGAGAAGTGCGCTAACACAAAGGCAAAGATCCCCTGTATAGCCTTAAGAGATTGTTGGGTCAAGTGCTGTTATCGAGCACCTATGAAGGCTGGCACAACACACGAGGGGGTGGGTGGCCAGCACCACGCCCGGCCGCCTTTGTCTTCCCAGTGGCGATGTTCACACACCGCACCGGATACTAATTTGAGGCTGAGTCGACCTAGGGGAGGCCCAGGACCGGTTCAGATAATCGTCACCTGTGTTGGCCGTGAGCGTAAATCAAACTCGGGTCGCCTGGTTTGTAGCGCAGCACACATACACACACTTATCAGCCGCGATCAATCCACTACTGGACGGTGGTCCACGGTGATGTTTAGGTTCAGTGTGCCGTCGAGATCGAGTAATCCCGAGAGTGCCCACGGCACTAGAACCGGTTGCAGAGCTCTGCTGCAGTGCCAAAGTTCGTGCTGCCGCGCGGGAGATCCCGACAGGAAGTGATCTCGCGATGTGACCTCCGGTTAGCACAGTCCCGCACCACCAATGAGCACGTTTGGCTACGTACGGTACGAATGAAGTTCAACGTACATACATGCTTACGTCGTGACGTCGACAGCACAGTTGGGATAAATTTTGGGGAAGAAGACAAACAAGCTTTAAATCAAAATTTTACGTGTGTCAGTTCTTTTTTATTTGGCTGAAAAATTTTGTCCGCTAAAATGTATAAATTGTGCAAGATTAATAATCCTGAATTATGTCTTGAATAGCAGTTATTTAGCCCGTATGCATGCGTATGGTGGCTGGTGCCAGTATTGTCGAAACTCCAGATGCCAATGACGTGGTCCGTCCAGGTTTTTTGTAGTTCCGCAAGAGGCAGCACATTGACTTTCCTGTACAAAGTGGAGCAGACTCACCAGGTTGTGCTCCTGTGAAGAGGCGATGCGTATGATTTAATTTTGTTCCGCTGCTGTTGATGACGATGGTGATGATGATTGTGATGAAGATAGTGCTACCTTTGCCGAATATAATTTTTGTACTGATAATTATATGTTTCTACTAATCGTGATGGGGATTGTAATGTTGACAATCGTGCTGCTGCTGATGATGATGATAATTATAGGTCCATGTTGACCCAAGCCTAGATTTGAACCACCTAACCTCTCTGTTTGTCTAGGGCTGCTGCTCTACACTGAGCTATAGTGTAATCCTATACCTGTCTATGCAACAAATTGCATTGTTAATTGTGTACAAAACACACGATGCTCATTAAAATGCATTAACATGCAACACCAGCTGTATAATTAAGCTGTGAATTACCGCACAAACGATTTCTGTAATGGCTTCTTTGATTGCAACTGGGGAGATGATGTTGTTTTGATTCTTGTGGATACTGAGCCCACAAGCTTGCCCGAGGTTGTTAAAATATAACTGAAATGGAGGAACATTGATTTAATGTGGGTTTATCCCCACGTTTAATATTTCCTAGTGGGGTTGAGCAGTGGTGCAGTGGTTTGCATACTGCGCTACATACCTGGAAACCTGAGTTTCGATTTCCAGCCAAGGCCGCGAATTGCACCTCCGATTAGTACGGTTGACAGCTTTACGGTACGAAAGACGTTCAACATACATGCATATGTACACGGCTCACATCAGCGGCGAGTAATTTCTGAACCGGTCCTCTGGCGCACAACTCCACAGCCAGCCTATGATAACCTCGCGTGCATGGTGGTCACCCATCCAAGCTCGTGAGATCTCATGAGATGAGATTGGATGTCGGCTGATTTGGCCATAGGAGATCCCTTCTTCGCCGTAGCAAAGACGCTCAATTGCCGGTCGTGCCCGAGGTAGCTATCCCGTGTCGGGGGCACCCATTCCGGTCTGGAACCCCGCAAGGGGGACGAGACAGAATGTGTTTTTCTTTCACCATCCCGCACTGACCGGCGTGGTGAAGTGCGATCAAACCCGTCCCTCGCGCCCCCGTAACCAACGGCACTTATACCATGGCCTTCCCAGCACGTACCCCTCATTCTGCACGAGCGGCTGTGGCCGGACTGCAATCGGCAGCAGGCTACGGTTGTATGGGGAGGACATTTATTCGTTGCTTTAATTGGCTGGGATGCAAAACGCACACAGCTATTAGTCCACAATTGATGTACATTACCATTATGGAAATTGTGTTGGCTGCAGTGTCATAGGATTAACCCCGATTGCTTTTTGTTTTTATTAAAATTTGTTTATGCCAGATAACGTGCCGGGGAGTGTAAATGGCGTTATGGTTAGCGGCGCACGATGCCCGACGTTTTTGTCCACGTGCTGGGAGCGTATTCAGGAACCGATTTGCTCTAAGCAATTATATTCAGGTTTCCCTCGCTCTCTGCGGGAGTAGATTCGTTCCAAAAAAATGGCCCACAAAGCGTGATCACGTAGCACGGACCGTACAGTCACCCAACCCACAATGCACCTCACGAGACAGCTGCCTGCCGCGTAGCGTGTACACCACACACACACACAATGTTGTCCCACGTCCGACAGTGGATTCAAACCGCGCAGAGCGAATTTTGAAAGTGAATATGTTAGCCGCATATATACAATGCGTAAGTCGCACCAACCGAATCCGCGTAGCACGAAGGAAACCTGTACGGCACATATATATTATAATAATATGTTATGTATTAAGGGAGAAAGTGAGCTGCTGAATGGGACAGCAGTGGTGCAAAGTGCCAGGCGTGACTCGACTTGCCTGTGCCTCACATTAACCCCCATCACCTCCACACCTCGGCCAATTAGCTTCAATTGCCAGGAGTGGGCGCACTGATGCACGCAAGCAATCGGGGGGGGGGGGGGTAACCTTATAGTGGGGGGCTGGCGGACCGCTCGGAGACGGAGTCGTGAGAAGTGGATTGGGTGAAAGGGACCGCGCGTCAGAACAGCTTTGCGAGGGAGTGACGTCGCCGCAAGTCGGTTATTATTTCGAATGTACCTGACTGAGGTAACCCTGGGTTCCACCGTCATCAATCAAACGCACTGCATTTATTAAAAGGCACGCTCGCTCATCCGACAAGCGATCGTGCACTCTGACAACAAGCCGAAGGGGGGTCACAGCGGTTGGATGACCTTTCGGTGCGCCGCAGTGAGTTGAAACCTTTTGGCTGGCTCGTCAGCTTTTAGAAAATTAAAATAATAATAATAATAGAGGTGCCCCGCGTGAGAGAATAACATCGTCTGGTCGCGTCAGCGAAACCGAGCCAGCGCCGCTGAGATGTGGGGTTTGGATCTGGCGCTTCAGCCACCCGTGATTAAATTGGGTACTCGAGTGTGGCGGGGTTGGTCATAAAAAAATGTAATGGAAAGTTGTCACAAGCCCGGGGGCACAGGCAGCGCCTGTTTTGTAATCCAGCGCCTGTTTTGTAATCCAGCGCCTGCTTTGTAATCCAGCGCTGTGGAGGCCAAGGTTGGTTGATCTGTGAAACTGTCAGAGCCCCGGGGCTGTGAGGTGGCTAGCAGATAGGTGGCAGTGCAACTCGTGGATCATTTAATCCATCTGTGCGAAGCTTTCCATGTTAACCTACTTGTATTGTATCTGGGCAAACAAAACTGTAAACAGAAAAAATGACCAATGCAAATTAAATGGTAATTTTAAAAAACTGGGGAAAAAAGGCAATCGAGTGTGGATTTGAATTTCGGCCCCCAAATTGTGACAATCAAATTCCCAATTGGGTGGATTGTCTCCTGGCTAGAGTGTGACATCACGTTTCAGCCCATCATGGTGTAACCTGCCGATTTAAATGAATATTGGTTCCCCCAAAATATTTGTGCCCCCAGAAACAATTTTTTGGCGACTTATTTGTTCCCTCGTGCGTGTATACCAAGGTTCAGGGCAAGCGCTAGGGTTAGATGTTATAGTTAGGTGGTAGGGGTTACTGCCTAGGTGTTGGGATTAATTGGGAGGGGTGAAAGGTTAGGTGTTTGGGTTATTTGATAGGCTTGGTGTTAGATGTTTGGGGGAAGGGTTTATTTAGACATTCGAGTAAAGTTAGGCTGGAACAGATGGCATGAAATGTTAAAACGATACATTAAATCGAGCAGCCGTTTCACAATTAAGTCTAGAAAGTTGTTTTAAAATTAAAGTTTTGATCAAATATGCACGGATACAGACAAACATATCAATTATATATTTTTTTATTTACTGAAAGGGAAACCGATATTCTCCAATATTGGTTGCGAGCAGCAAGCAAATGATGCGGGGCACAAATATTGTCTGCGAACACGGCCAGTACGCTAAACTCTTAACGAGTCACATTTTCCATCCATCAACATTAGCCTTTAATCCACCAAAGGGGCCACACTTTAATTAGTTCAGATTTTCATGGCTCATACGGTAACACCCGTGCGTCATCTCGCGTTTTCTCACATTAGCACCAATTAATCGAATGCCCTCGTTATCTCCGGAGGTCCTGCTTGTGAGGTGGGCGCGTGTCCCCCGGAGGGTGGGAGGGGGGCTCGTAATGTCCGCGCTGGAGCAAATGGTCAGTGGGTGCCGAGAACCTGGATTTGAATCTAGGTTTCGGCTGCTTGCGGTTTAAAACTGAGTGTTCGTTCGTAGTGTCTTTGGTGGGCATGTCATGGATTGCTTGATCATCACAGCTCCTTATCAATCCACTGTGGATGGGGGATGGGGGGCACAAGTACAGTATAACGATGGATTTTGTTACACTGCACACAACGGAGCAGAACTTTGCAGCCTATATCATAATCTTTATTTAGACTGGAGGAGGAGGAGGAATCCGATGAGCGATGAAGCTCTCTTTCACAGATGTCCAGCATGGGTGGGTCAAATTAAATTAATGGAGGTCACCCACCCAGCACTATCCAGGCTCAACTCCACTCAGCTTCCGAGATCTTATGAGATTCGGTGGATTCCTGGGTGATTTGGTCATAGATGAAGCCAGAATAGATTATAATCTAACAAAACATGATCAGCTCTTTTAAGGCCACCATTCCTTTGCTACCCTTCACTCAGGGACTTGCAAGCAATCTCACCAGATGTAAATGGGCCTCACCGATCGGTAAAATCTTTATTTTGCCACATTATGAAGTCACAGACGAAACACAACTTAGTTTGCATTTACATCAGCGATACGGTCTACAAAGATATATATACAAAGAGTTGGTCCATCGGACCAAAATTGATTTATTCATCTTTCTTTTATGGAATAAATCTCAGTGTGTGAATATTCATGTTTTTGGACAGAACCATGCCGGGCTACTTGAATGACCCAATGCCTTTCCCCAAATGCGGGCAATTGGGTCGCCACTTAGCGATGCAGTTTTCCTCCGTCAACCGCCGTTGTTCGAATTGACCGCGCGTGTGTGAAGGTGGCTGTTCAGGGATGGGCTGCTGCCGAACGACACGTACGTCATCGGGTACGCGCGCTCCGCCATCACCATGAAGGACATCCGTGAGCGCTGCCTGCCCTTCCTGAAGGTGAACGGGGAGGAGAGACGACCTTACTCGAGTCGAATGTTTTGTTTATGAACGAAGATGAAGGTGCAGGCCTGCAATACCTTGCCGATGCAGCTGCTGGCCAAACTGAGCTCCTGGTGGCAGTGGTGGCATGTGTGAAGTCCACACGTGTGAAATCTACACACCAACCCAGAAACCTACTAGCTCTTGGTGTCCCCTTATCGCTGACAAAGCCATGATGAGCCAGCAAGACCCGAGTAAAATTAACGTTGTACCGTGTGTGGCTGTGATGGTGGTGGTGACGGGTGGGAAATCCACACACGAACCTAGGGAGTGAGAGGCCAGAGATTTTTCTGGCCTTGCTATCACCGCCATGGAAAAGGGCCATTGTCCATGACATTACTGATTGTATATTGTTCCCACTTTGGGGCAGTGTTATTGGTGAATGTGATATTTTGTTATTTGTCCTTGTGTACTGCCAACGTAGAATTATGTTTTTGTTAACTCTGAGCCAGCCAAGCCCCTCGGATATTCAACATTGTATCCTCTTAAGACGCAGGTCTTCGCACCATCTTGAAGCTAAACGTGATATCTAATTCATTGATTTAATTGGTGGAAACCAACCACCAGGACCATTACTGCCCTCTCCCTTTATTGGTGGAAACCCACCACCAGCACCATCACTACCAACAACGACCGTCACCTCTAGCAGCAACTTCCCTTACATTAACATTAGCTACCCCGCCCATGCTGCTGACACTTGAGCTACGCCCATTTTTAAACCTGTTTAAACAGTTTGCCTTTAGAGGCTTAACCCCATTTTCCTGATGACGACCGCTTGTGTTGCGATCAAAACGTCGTAGTTTTTTGTTCTTTTCATTGAACCTATCTACGTGACTTTACCGCGAGACCCAAAGAATATGATAAATTTGTTCGTAAGAATTGTTCTTAAACCTACCGGGAGCGTTAAACGCTCGTACACCACGTGACTAGTTTTAATTTGTTTGACTACGTCAAGTGGTGGAGGTTCTTACAACAACAAATTTGGCTGCACCATCATTGTGGCCTACGTACGTACGTCTGTACGTTTAACTTCCTTCGCACCGTACGTAGACAACCGTGCTTAATCGGAGGCCTAACCCAGCAGTCAACAACTGCGACTCATCGTCCCCGTCGGTCCGTTGTGCGGCCTTGTCTGCGCTGGAGCCAGGTGCGAGCGGGCGAGGAGGAAGCCCTGGAGAAGTTCTTCTCCCGCAACATCTACGTGTCGGGCCAGTACGACGTGCGGCAGCCGTTCGAGAAGCTCGCCGCCCAGCTGGACACGCTCGCCCACGGCCGCCTCTCTAACCGCCTCTTCTACCTCGCGCTGCCGCCCAGCGTCTTCGAGTCCGTCACATCCAACGTGCGCTCCACCTGCATGAGCACCACGTGAGTGGGCGGTGAGGATGATGACGGGGGCGGCGGGGATGGCGGTGGGGGCGGCGGGGCCGGTGGGAGCGGTGGAGATGGCAGCGGGAGAGGTGTGGGGGCAGTGGAGGCTATGAGGGAGTTGTGGGCGGTGGGGGGTGGTGGAGGAGGTGAGGGAGTTGGGGGCGGTGATGGTGGTAGGCATGGTGGGGGCCGTGGGTGTTTTCATAGTAATTCCTCTCCGTTCAGACAAAGGTCAACGTTATTTATGCTAAATTGAGCATAGAGGCAGGGCTCGTCTCCAGTTTTACAGCCCACTGGTGGAAGTTCCACATTTCTATGATGGGGGCGAGTCTCTCCAAAGGGCGACCGCTGTTGACTTCCCCAATAAAGTGTTTCTAATTTTATTAACACCGATGGCCTGATGAGCCGAATCAACTCCAAACCAGGAATTGATCTTGCAACCTTGCGATTGGGAACTGCTCGCCCTGCCGCTGAGCCACCTGGCCGGCCAGAGCTCCTTTGTAAAATGCAAATCCTCGCCATCATTTCAGAAGCTTTTGTAAATCCGGCTTGCGTTGACGATGATCGTCGTCGCCTCCCCGCGCGTCGCCAGCGGCTGGAACCGGGTGATCGTGGAGAAGCCGTTTGGGCGCGACCTGCGGAGCTCTGACAAGCTGTCGCAACACCTGGCGCAGCTGTTCTCCGAGGAGCAGATCTACCGCATCGACCACTACCTGGGCAAGGAGATGGTGCAGAACCTCATGGTGCTCAGGTGAGCGCCGCCCTGTGACCCCCTGTCGTCACCTGGCTAAATAAATACGTCGATTTGTACTCTTTTTTTTCCCCATCATCGTCATCTTTGATCAATCCACTGCTGGATGAAGGGTTCCCTAAGCCGTCACCATTACATATCATTCCCCCCCAGTGGCATTACCTAGAGCTGTTGTGTTTTTGTTGTGTTTGTGAGCGTGTTTGTTATGCCATCGGTGTCCTATAGCAGTGGTTCTTAACCTGGGGGTCCACGCACCCCCTGGGGGTCCCCTGGGGGTCCACGCACCCCCTGGGGGTCCACGCACCCCCTGGGGGTCCACGCACCCCCTGGGGGTCCACGCACCCCCTGGGGGTCCACGCACCCCCTGGGGGTCCACGCACCCCCTGGGGGTCCCCTGGGGGTCCACGCATCCCCTGGGGGTCCCCTGGGGGTCCACGCACCCCCTGGGGGTCCCCTGGGGGTCCACGCACCCCCTGGGGGTCCCCTGGGGGTCCACGCACCCCCTGGGGGTCCCCTGGGGGTCCACGCACCCCCTGGGGGTCCCCTGGGGGTCCACGCACCCCCTGGGGGTCCCCTGGGGATCCACGCACCCCCTGGGGGTCCACGCACCCCCTGGGGGTCCCCTGGGGGTCCACGCACCCCCTGGGGGTCCACGCACCCCCTGGGGGTCCAAGACATGGCCAGATTTTTTTAGGTCAACCATCAAAACAAATTAAGCATGGGCACGTAAGTACAACCACTTTGTTTCGTGAAAGCTATGTGTTTGTAAACATATATTGGAACCTTATGGCGGGACCCCTGGATCCCGAATAAACGGAAGTCAAAATCGCAATTAATTAATTTATTTTTGGCGGCTCCGTCCCACCGCGCACATAAACACCGCGACCCGCCTGGCGCGGATCGTTCTGTTGCCGTGTCCAAGCGCAGCAGCGAGGGCGAATGCGCACAAGAGCTGAACAAGCGAATGCACTCCATGCTCGGGTATGGGCAGGATCATAACAAGTCTTATCCAAAGCTGCTCAAACTGCCTTACACGACTTAAGTCCTTTATTTGTCATAACGGTATGCATAATACAGTGAAACTGCTCTTCATTATTATTTGTGAAATATCAATGTCTCCAGTCAGGATCAATCGATGACAATCCTATTACCTGCAGATATTTAACAGATGAGATGCGTTGCACCGTTAATTCCTCGTATCAATGCGGATAAGAGGAGCGGCGACCCACTACTCGGTAGAGTAACTTTGTTACAATATGAACAGCGCATTGACAACGCGTATTATTTACTGTTTACAAAATGAGTTCACAAATCCACACTAAGAAACACGATGATTGACGGAGGGGTGTACATTATTTTTTCGATAGTGTATTTAAATAGAGGTACTGCAGGTAGGTAGTTTTCAGTTTTAAAGGCATAGTTTAACAAGACAACGCTTCCCACCATCCTTCAAACCCATTGGTGAAAAAGAAAAAGTTTTCGATTACATTATAATATAATGTTTATGCGAGACCCGGGGGCTTATGGGACCCCGGGGTCCCGCCTCAAGGTTAATTTGTTTACAATTGAGAACCAAAGGCTGCAGTGAAGGGTAGAGAACCACTGGTCATTAGCAATACAGGGCTCCTTGGTCTTTGTGGGCATATATTAGTTTGCGTATGTGTGCGTGTACATTTGTGTCTTTTTGCACGTGTGCGTGTACGTATGGTCATGTGTCTCAGCCTGGCACAAGCACCGTGGTGACGTCACCGCCACTTGGTAGCGAATGGCGGTTGTTATGGTCATGTGTATTATTGCTTTTGTGAAATTTATATTGTTTAACGAGGTAAGAATTGAAGAGACCAGGATTAGTCTCGTTAGCAAGCATGACTTTGGTCACCAAAGTGACGCATGTTCGCAATTCAAATAAAATGTATTGTTCATACGTGATTTGTGGGAAGCGGCAGTGTAGTGGTTAGCACGCTGCACTATGAACCTGATGACCCGAGTTAGGTTCCCACTCACGGCCAATACCAGTGACGATTATCTGAACCGGTCCTGCCCCCCCCCAGGTCGACTCGGCATTAACTTAATACCTGGTGCAATTTGTAAACATCGCCACTGGGGAGACAAAGGTGGCAGAGCGTGGCGCTGGCCACCCACCCCCTCGTGTGCCACAGTGTCGGCCTTCATAGGTTCTACGCTCACTTGCCCCCAAGGCTACACGGGGGGGCGATATTTGTCTTTGCATGGTTGTCCACATGCTCACAGTCACTCTCCTCGCCGCAGGTTTGGGAACCGGATCTTCGGTCCTATTTGGAACCGAGACAACATCGCGTCGGTGGTGATCACCTTCAAGGAGCCGTTCGGCACAGAGGGGCGTGGTGGATATTTCGACGAGTTCGGCATCATCAGGTCACGAGATGTTAACTACCTTGCCTGGTATACAGGAGGTCGTGGGTTCGATCCCAACCCTGACACCTGCTGTATATCTGAAGTTTGCGGTGTCTCTCTTCCCGTTTTTGCGTGGATTTTTCTCTGGATCCTCCGGTTTTTCCCTCCACATTTAGAATCAAAGTGCATTTAGAGTATTTGGCTTCTGCTATAAATTTCCACACGATAAGCCACTTTGTTGAGCTATCATTTGTGGCCAGGTTACTTTTCTGAAAAAGAGCTACATAGCTCAGTGGGCATTACCTGGTAAAATAAAAAAACATTTTAAAATAGTTTAGTTTTTAAGGTGCGAGTCCCAACAGTCTGTGATAGGCTACACACGGGGGGGGGGGTCACATTTCTCTTTGTCTCTCACTGGCGTAATTAAGATAATTTCGGTAAGACGCAACATGAAACAGATAATATATGTTACAGTTTCTGTTGGGAAGTGATGTGACGTGTTATTCTTATAGATATGTGTCCACATGTTCCCTCCTACCGCCTTACTTTCCCCTGTGTCTCCCACGTGTTTCCACATTTACCCCGTGTCTGCTGCTCACGTCCGGATGTCTCCGGTTATCTCTGCCTTGTCCCCCCGGGTGAATCTCTGTCCCGTTGCATCCCCTTTGGCATAACCACTTTGCATCCCCGCCCCCCTCCCTGTATCCCCCCCCCCCACCGCGCCTTGCAGGGACGTGATGCAGAACCACCTGCTGCAGATGCTGTGCCTTGTGGCCATGGAGAAACCGACATCCACGAGCTCGGACGACGTTCGCAACGAGAAGGTGGGTCGCTCGTCGCGTTCTCCCCGTGGTCACGTGGATTTTTCTCCATACGTCTGTGTCTCTGCCTGCGTACATCTCCGTAAGCCTGTGTCTGTGTGCTTATATCCCTGTGCGCAGGTGAAGGTGCTCAAGTGCGTGCCGGAGATCTTGCTGGAGGACGTGGTGCTGGGTCAGTACGTGGCGCGGCCTGGCGGCACGGGTCCCGGCGAAGAGGGCGGCTACTTGGACGACCCCACTGTGCCCGCGGGGTCCGTCACCCCCACCTTCGCCTCCGTGGTGCTCTACGTGCAGAACGAGCGGTGGGACGGTGAGCGGTGGGCGGCAAGCATAGGACCCTCCTCACACCCCCCCCCCCCCACTACGGAGAAAACCGCCACCTCGGCACAGCAGGAGCTTCGTAAGCTTCCTGTGAAGAACGGCAGAGGTCGAAAGCTCTGACCAGTTACAAAGGACCCCACTGTCACGCGTGAATAAAAAGCGCGGATGTGCTGCTGTAATTGTCAAACGGAGGCCCCTACGGCCCTATAATGAAAATCGAAGGCCGCAAGGTTCCTGTGGCTCAAAGGGAAGGCATTGTGATTCTCATAGTGCAACACAGAGGCCCAAGGACAGAGCACTGGCTCTGGGGCTCTGGGGCTCTGGTGGAGGCAGTTGAGACCTTTGGTTCTGTACTGCAAAGTAACTGCTACTAGGGTTCTGTAATTGTGAATAGTGTTAGTGCCGGGTGCTTAGTGTTTGTGTTTAGTCAGTGTTCTTACTGTTGGGATACTGTGGGGCAATCAGCGCAGGGCAATTCCGTGTTAATGCTTGGGGTGAGTTTTCATGTTCACGTTGGTTGGTAACGTTTCAGCGATCGGGATCGGTCGGTGCTGGTTGGCGCTGTCGCTCCAGTAAGCGTTGGCGTCGACGCGCGACCTCTGACCCTGAAGCCCGTCCCCTCCCCGCCACCCCGTACAGGCGTTCCGTTCGTCCTGCGCTGCGGCAAGGCTCTGAACGAGCGCAAGGCCGAGATGCGGCTGCAGTTCCGCGACGCGCCGGGCGACATCTTCCAGCGGCAGTGCAAGCGCAACGAGCTGGTGATCCGCGTGCAGCCCAACGAAGCAGTCTACATGAAGATGATGACCAAGAAGCCCGGCATGCACTTTGCTCCCGACGAGTCAGAGCTTGACCTCACCTACAGCAGCCGCTACCGCGTGAGTGTGTGTGTGTGTGCGCGAGCGTGTGTGTGTGTGTGTGCACGAGCGTGTGTGTGTGCGCGTGCGTGTGTGTGAGTGCGAGCATGTGTGTGAGCGTGTGTGCGAGTGCGAGCGTGTGTGCGAGTGCGAGCGTGTGTGTGAATGTGGGAAGCGGTGGCGCATTGGTTAGCACGCTGAGCTACAAACCCAGCGATCCGAGTTTCATTCCCGCTCATGGCCAATACTAGTGACGATTATCTTAACCGATCCTGGGCCTCCTGTAGGTCGACTCGGTCTCAAAAGGGTACCTAGTGCACCCAGCCACCCCTGTCTCCACTGGGGAGACAAAGGCGGCTGGGCGTGGTACTCTCCAAGCACCCCCTCATGTCCCAGCACAGCCTTCGTACGTGCTCACGAACAGAACTTGCCCCAAAAGTTTGAAGGCAATACGGGGAGGGGATCTTTGTCAGTGGAATGTGTGAGTTGTGTATTTAGATTGTGTGTAGATCGTGTGTTGGGTCACGTGGAGGATGTTTGTGATTAATTTGTTGTGCTTCCCTCGCACCTCCGAAAGAAGTTCAACATACATACATACTGTGTGCATAGGAGGTATATATCCTTGTACATGTGTGCATGCGAACTTGTGTGTGTGGGGTGGGTGTGCGCAGGACGTGAAACTGCCCGATGCTTACGAGCGCCTCATCCTAGACGTGTTCTGCGGGAGTCAGATCCACTTTGTGCGCAGGTAACACTCGCACCACTCCACGGCCTCGTGCGTCGTCAACACAAAGCGGGGAACGCAGCACCACGGGCGGCGACTGACGCACGGCGGTTCGTACGCTAATGTGTTTTGTGAATAGGTGTGCGTGTGTGTTTGGGCGGATTGCGTGTGTTCAACAGTGACGAGCTGAAAGAAGCGTGGAGGATATTCACTCCTCTGCTGGACAAGATTGAGAAGGAGAAGATCAAACCCATTCCTTATGACTACGGCAGGTGCGTGCGTTACCATGTATGTGCGTCTGTGTGCATATCTTTGTGTGTGTGTGGGGAGCGGTGGCGCAATGGTTAGCGCACTGCGCTACGAACCCAGCCAACACCAGTGACGAATATCTTAACCGGTCCTGGGCCTCATAAATAGCTGGTGCGGTGTGTAAACGTCGCCACTCGGGAGACAAATGCGGCCGGGCGTGGTGCTGGCCACCCACCGCCCTCATGTGCGGTGCCCGGCAAACAGGTGCTGTAGTGTGAATTAAAGGGATTGTCAGACGGTTAAAAAGTTAACTTGGAGATTATATTAAAAACATCTGAATCTTTGAAATATGTATCACAGAGGTATAAAATACCGGTGTCGGCTTACATTGGTCTAATGCTTTGTTTCCTGTGCGCAAACACACCCATACACACACACATGCACACACCTATACACACACCTACATAACACACACTCATACATGCGCACGCCTACACACACGTGCACACCTACACGCACGCGTACACACACCTACACACACGCACGCGTACACACACCTACACACACGCACGCGTACACACACCTACGCGTACACACACCTACACACACGCACAGCCGTGGACCCAAGGAGGCGGACGAGCTGCTAAGCAGAGTGGGGTTTCGCTACGAGGGAACCTACAAGTGGGTCAGTCCTCACAAGCTCTGAGCTCGGCCCACTCCCCTGCGAGGGCCTTCAGCCCCAACACCCCGGAAACCGTTTTCTAAACAACGTCGTCACCTTTTTTCCTACAAAGAAAAAAGTAGTCTGCTTCCTCGCTCTCGTCTTTAATTTAGTGTCGTCTCTCCAATCTCTTTCCCAGCTGCCCGTGGCTGAAGCTGCTCGATTGATTTGTTTTCTATTTTTGCTACCTTTAGTTTTAACTTTGGAGAAAATGGACGTGCCGGTGATGGGGGGGGGGTGTTATTTGTTTGCTAGCGCAGGGGCACTTGTACGAATGTAAGTACGCGTGTATCGTAAACAGGGGGGTGGAGGGGATGGGGAGTGGGTAGAGGGTGTGGTGATGGTAAGCGCAAGCGAGTGTAGTTGTTTTCGTGAGGCGAGGAATTCGAGTTTACACACGCACACACAGGGTGTCGTGCATACGTGCGATGCACGAGACTCGGTTTTGTTGGATGCGAGCCGTCCTCCACATTGGAGGACAAAGAAGGCGGCACCCTTCCCGCCCACGGTTTTTGATCCAGAATCTCTCCACGTGCTGGGTATAGTGACCCTGGGTGGAGGAGGGGGTTGGGGCCTGGGGGTGTCCTTCAGTGAGCCCGGATTCACCGCTTTTCCACCGGCACATCCGAGCCAAGGCAGCGTGTAGGCCCCCTCGCGAGTACGTCTTGCCATTGGTTTTCCGTCGGCTGTTGAGCCGAGCCAGAAGCAAACGATGAAACTCGGGCCTTGCAGGACGATCTGAATCTGGCTTTGGGCCAAAGCAGGAGCCAGAGGGCCCCGGTGGTTTTTTTTTTTGTTGCGTCTTGACTCGTCCGTCACGTGTCACGTCATTGGCACGGCTCGGCTTCTGCAGTGGAAAAAAACACCTGGCGCCTCCTGAGCCGCCAGACCAGGCTGGCTCGGTTGTACGGTTGGCTGTATAGGAGCACTGAGTCAGCATCAATTAGCATTCTGGATTCGAGGCCTGTGGTTTAATTATTTGAGACTATTATCATCAGGGCTTCAGGCCTAATTGCCGTAGATGTTGTATTTACCTTGTTTTAAGGCTTGCTGTATTGCTCGTTTACTGGACATCTGTGAAAAGAGCTTTATTGCTCATCGGATTCCTCCAGTATAATTAAATATTCTGATTCTGAATGCACTTCTTCCGGGAGCTGAAATCGGAAATGCACATTTGCAGCTCTGCACTTCTGCACTTATTTCGAGCAGCTGGAATTGTTTCAGTGTTTTAAACGATTCGTAGTAGTTGTGGCAATTCGAATTTTTAAAACTATCTTATGGGTACTGCTGGGTGGCTAAAAGTGGGGACAATGTCTAAGCACTAATTTGGCGCTGCTGAGATCCTGCAGTTTTCAGCCGTTTGTTGTTAAACCGGATTGTCAGCTGTAGCGTTGATGCCTGTTGACTGCACAAACATATCTCAATGCCTTTTTTTAAGTGGCTGGGAGTTTATGTGCGTGTTTTTCAATGCCAGGCAGTACTTTTGATGCAATACTGCCTGGCGCTGAATTCAAATACATGTTGCTTGCGTGTACATTACGATGAAACAACGCAATCGATTAGACTAACTTCAACGTGACTACGCTCTGTTGGGTAACGTGGTTTTGCCCAACTGCTCGATTTTTCTTACCATTCTTGTTTGTCCATGACGGACGGCGCGTGACGTCACGACACAAAAGCCATTTCCCTTTGGCGCGTGACGTCACGACACAAAAGCCATTTCCCTTTGGAGCTCTCCGGCGTGAGGAGTGAATCCGATCGCCTCGTGTCAGAGAACCACCCCGAAAGATAAGATTTCAGAACCGACTTCTGAAGCCACTTCAAAAAGCCTTGCTCTCCCCCCCCCACCACTCGGAGGGGAGGCTGTGACTCTTTATACACCCGGCAGCAACAACAGCAGCAACATGTTCATCACGTGGCAGTCGGACGACAATAATGAATTCGCGCAGCCTGACGACTGAAATGAACCAAGTGCAGGTGATGATTATAATTATCATCATTGGTGACCAGGCTGACACCATCATCTGATTCCCCTTGAGAAATCCAGTTTAATCACGGGTGGCTTAAATCTGGATTTCAATCCAGGATCTCGCTCGTGCTGGCTTAGCGTAGTGTGTCTTGACATGGCATTAGCACCCTCCCCCCCGCCAACACCCACCCCCGAGTCACGTGGCCCTCTTAGAAGTTACATCTGAATGTCTTAAAGCACTTGTAGGCGCAAAGTAAAATTGAAGCACGGCGTGCCCTCTCAAACACTTTGTACAATCATTCGGCAATGAATCTTTAATGGTTCGTGATGACATTCCACATCGACCGCTTGCCTAAGAATATGTTTTACAAGTGGCTGAACATGCTAGAACAAAAATAAAAAGTGTTATTTTCATGCGCTTACAGCTCCCGATTCTCTTTCCTTCTTTGCGCATGTTAATTCCACGTGTTGCATTGGTTGTCTGTGTGTGTGATGGACGTGGTGGCGCGTGTGAAACACTTGTGTCCATGTGTGCCTTGTCAGCACTAATAGGTGCTCACTAATATCCACTTGGTCGATATACTCAACAGGGGTGATCTGTCGAGTGTGGTGGTGCAGTGCCCTACAATCGCAGCATCCTGGGTTCGATACCTGGCCCATTGCACAATACCACCAATAATCGGCATCTTCACTTGGTCTGAGACTCCTCTAGATTGACTCTGCCATAAGTTAATGCCCTGGCACATTGCGTTACCGTGAACACGTGCAGGTTAGAGATGGTGAAACGTGTACACTACTGATCACAGACGTGGCTGGGTGTGGTGCTGCCCCCCCCCCCCACCCCATTGTGTATAATCCCAACCTTTAACTGGTGTTTGCTAACGGCACTTTACTCCAACAGGATTTCTTGTGGTGTGAGTGAGGTGTGTAAAAAATCAATCGGTCCTTTTCTCCTTTTCACAAAAATCTCTCTTACCAATCAAACTTGACTGCAACGTTGTGCGCACACACACACGTCCACGTGGGAATGTTGTGTTCATAAACCATTCTGGATAAAAAGTTAAAATTATCTAGATTCGCACGACTCCAGAGTCGGGAACAATGAGGTCGCTTGGATGGGCACAACTGGACAACACACCTCCGATTAGCATGGTTGGCTACGTACGGTGCGAAAGAAGTTCAACATGTGTGAAGTGGAATGAAGTGTCTATTGAGGGCAATTGTTGAAGGCGGATCGGGATCAAACATGGCGACATGGAGGCGGATTGAGAGCAAGATGCCACGTGCCTCTGGGTAATCGCATGAATAGCAACAATGTGCAGAGAGAAGGAAGGAAAACAGTTTAAGTTTCTTTAATGTGAATAGATTCGGACAATGTGAAGCACGCTACCGTCTCTGGAGAGCAGCGCTCGACTGCAGAATGAGAGCCCCAGCGCGTGTCATTCCACACGTCGCTACCGTCATCGACGTTCCCTCTCAGCTTCCCTTAAAATGCGCTGCAAACTTGTGCCAATATAATCTTGATATGTGCCAATATTGTTATATAAATCTGGTCTCGCACGTACACACGTACTGGATTCATCTTCTTTGGTTCTTTCGGTAAAGTCACGTAGAATGAGAATAAAATAATAAATTGATAAAATAACACAATAAAATTCTCACGACGTTTCGGCCACAACACAAGCGGCCTTCATCAGGTGAAGGGAGGAAACTGTCTGGAGGACAGCGCTGGAGCGAAAAAGCCACGCTCGTGAGAATTTTATTGTGTTATTTTATTTTATCAATTTATTATTTTATTCTCATTCTACGTGACTTTACCGAAAGAACCAAAGAAGATGAATCCTTGCAGTCACTAAAGCTTTAAATCGAAACGTACTGGATTATTAGACGCACCCCCAGGGTTTTCTTTAAAATTCGGGGGGGGGGGGGGAGGTGGGGCGACACGTGTGTCGATAATGTGGATAATATGATAATCGTGTGATTTATTATCCCAGATTACATTGGATGTGTTGTCAAAATGTGTACCTCTAGAACTCCTCTCAACCACGATGGGGTAACCGGGTAGCTCGCAGAGGTCTGAGCTTTCACAGCTGAATTATTGGATTTTAATCCAGGCTTCTGCCTGTAATTAGAGCCAGGTTCTCCAAGTGTAGTGTGCTGATGGCATCAGCCTGGTCATCAATGACTTGTATATAGACTCTCAAACTTTCACAGAGACTCCTTGACTAATATAGAGAGACCCAAATACACTGAGACCCCAAGACTCCCAGTTACCAACAATCACACACTACACGTTTTATTTTACCAGGTAAGATCCACTGAGCTGCTGTATATAGTTATTTTTCAGAAGTGACCTGGCCACATGATAGCTCAACGAAGTGGCTTATCACGTGGACATTGAGCAACCATATACTCTAAACGCGTGGTGACGTTGATTCTAAAGGTGGACGGGAAAACCGGAGGACCCGGAGAAAAATCCACGCAAATCACGAAATAATTACGGGAAAACATCTGACTTCACGTTGCACGACGGTCGCTTTTATTGCATTTGTTTTTTTTTTGCCATTCCCCCCCCCCTCACCCCCCGTTGTCCCAAGGTGGCTAATTGAGCACAGGCGCAGCCCGTGGAACTTTTCCTGCTATCACCACCTCCCCCTGTCGCGTCTCCATCCGCCCCGACAACGACCCCGTTGCCAGCCACGACTGAATCGGCGAAGTCCATAGCCACAACCGCCCCCACACGCGTGCACTTCACTACTCTCGTTGAACTCGACTTGAAGAAGCGGAGAGCTTCTCGGCCGTCTTGGTGTGGTGCTGCCTGCCCCCCTCCCCACCACCACCCCCCTAGTCGGAATCCGAATATGTATTTATACTGGAGGAATTCGACGAGCTATAAAAGCTCTTTTCACAGATTTCCAGTCGGGGCGTGTAAATATTACAACAATACACAAACGATAGGAGTATGAAGTACAGGAAAGGTAAACAAATAACTTTAAAAATATCTACAAATTAAACTAAACTTTTTTTCATCTGACCAAGCCCACTGAGGTTTTAACTTCTTTTTCAGAAGCGACCTGGCCACAAATGATCGCTCAACCTAAGTGGCTTTTATCGTTGGTAAATTTATGGCAGCAAAATTGTAAAGCAGTCAAGATCGCTGATCGTCCCTGTCACTGCCTCTCCACTGGCCCACCCCTCCAACAGACCTCAGGTTACCCCAAGGCCACCACAGGCACAGTACACACGAGTGATCGCATGTCCACGCATCGAGTCGACACGGTGTTCAAAGTCAGGCGATTGTTTCACGTTGCAAATTACTGGAGCGCGATTTGTCTCCACGGTGTGGTGCTGATGCACGAGATTCACATCGTGTGGATACCGTGCAGGAGAAATGTATGCTGCACGGTATCCATGCCGCAGCCTCCACATTCTCCTGAAAAGGCTTTTGTGTCCCCCTGGATGGAAGGGTAGGAGTGGGGGTCACCCATGAGTTAAGATCTACTGACTTGAAGTAAGACGGAACCCAAACAGATGGGGGGTTATATGATTTGATTATTTCATTCTCAAAACTCTCATCTAGGCGATGCAAAAGTTGCAAGCACCGAGATACGATTGGACAAGAGGAGCCCAAACATCGTGTTATGATTGGACAGGAGGGGGCCAAGGACTGGGCTATTGGACACGAGGGGCCCAAGCACCAAGCTATGATTGGACACGAGGGGCCCAAGCACCAAGCTATGATTGGACGCGAGGGGGCCAAGTACTGGGCTATGATTGGACAGGAGGGGCCCAAGCACTGAGCTATGATTGGACACGAGGGGCCCAAGCACCAAGCTATGATTAAAAACGAGGGGGCCCAGGACTGGGCTATGATTGGACAGGAGGGACCCCACTTTAATTCCTTGCACCCCACGGCTGTTACTTCCTGCCGGCGATCCTTCTGCAACGGTTGTGTTCCCTCGAAAGAGGACACTTAGTCTGCTCCTCCCACTTTCGTGATTGAATGTTGGTTGTAAGTTTCTGGTGTTCATTCACTATGTTGACAACGCTGTTCAACCCAAGGCCTAATGGCTTGGTTTGTTTTCTCATCCATTTTCTTTTCATTCTATAAAAATTAACGGGACCGATTTTCGTGGTAAAAATGGGATCAAACGTTTTTGTTATTGTTCATGTGTGAGATTTCTATTAAATCAGTTTTGGTTGAATGTGCAGAAAATGTTGATTATCAAAAGCCATGACATCTGTAAACAACTACATTCCATCACCTGAGACCTAAGTTCGTAATAAATAACGTTTGGCGTTCGTGCTATTATTACAGTGCAAAGGCCAATAAAATTAACTGCCTACAATTTTCAACAAGAATTTAGCGAACATGAAGGTCAAAGTGTTCCGGTGCTCAAATTAGTGTGGCGAAAACCTGCCGAGTCAGTGATAGAAATTCCACATTTCCATGGCAGGGACCAATGCTTTCATAGGCCAACCCACTGTTAAGATCTCACAAACACTGTTCCTTTTATATCGACCGTGACGGGTTGATGATGGGGCTGAGTCGACTCTTGACCGGGAAATGAACTCACAATCTTAACATTGCCCCTGACGCAGAACGTCTGTGTCGTGGCATAGAATAAGTCCTGTAGCAGCTGCTGGCGGGGGAGGGGGTCTGCGGCTTACAGCAGCGCTGACATCAGTAGGCCTGACATCAGTAGGCCAGGTTGTACACCAGAGCGGGATCTAGGGGAAAGATCACAGAAGGAGCACACCAAGAACCTGCTGGGAGGTTCTAGAAAGGGGGCGTGGCTGGGGGCGGAGCCAGGCCACGCTGACAGTATAAGAGGGGCCCCTGTGGAGGACCTCGGGGCTGTCGACTAAGTGGGGTCCCCGTCGTGCTGCTCAAGTCCATCGTCGTCGTCTTCGTCGCCGCAGTCGTCATCGCTAGATTTTGCGCTGCTATACGGTTGGTGGCGGTATCGGTCAGCGCCATCGGTGTTAGACGGCTCGTGTTGTGTGTAGGCTAGCGTGTGTGTAGCCGAGGCGACTGGAGGGTATCTGAAGGGAGATTGTGAGTATAATAAAAGAAGTGCATCCAACTCTTAGTGTTTCCGAGTTCGTCACGACATATGTATTGGACGTCCAAAGATGCATGATTCTAAGTGGACATGTAGAGGTTAGCGCGTTGCGCTACAAACCCGGCAACCCGAGTTCGATTCCCGCTCACAGCCAACTCCGGTCACGATCATCTGAACCGACTCACCCTTGAATGAGTACCTGGTGCGGTGTGTAAACATCGCCACTAGGGAGACAAAGGCGGTCGAGCGTGATGCTGGCCACCCACCCCCTCGTGTGCCATGCCGGCCTTCATAGGTGCTCGCTAACAGCACTTGCCCCCAACAGTCTGTTAAAGGCTGTACGGGGGATCTGTTTTTT